CCAAAGCTACTCCACAGTCACATCAGAAGGAAAACAACAGTGAAAGAACAGGTATTGAAACTTCGAACAGGCGAGGACAGGTATACAGAGAATGACAGAGAGGTGTGTGAAGAACTCAACAAGAGGTTCCAGGAGGTCTTCACAATAGAACAAGGTGAGGTCACTGTGCTAGGAGAAAGGGAGGTAAACCAGGCGGCCTTGGAAGAGTTCGAAATTACGAGAGAGGAGGTCAAGAGACACCTGCTGGATCTGGATGTTAGAAAGGCTGTTGGTCCAGATGGGATCTCACCATGGATACTGAAAGAGTGTGCAGAGGCACTTTGCTTGCCACTCTCCATAGTGTATAGTAAGTCACTGGAGACGGGAGACCTACCAGAAATATGGAAGACGGCGAATGTGGTCCCAATATACAAAAAGGGCGACAGGCAAGAGGCACTGAACTACAGGCCAGTGTCCTTGACTTGTATACCATGCAAGGTGATGGAGAAGATCGTGAGAAAAAACCTGGTAACACATCTGGAGAGAAGGGACTTCGTGACAAATCGCCAACATGGGTTCAGGGAGGGTAAATCTTGCCTTACAGGCTTGATAGAATTCTACGATCAGGTGACAAAGATTAAGCAAGAAAGAGAGGGCTGGGCGGACTGCATTTTCTTGGATTGTCGGAAAGCCTTTGACACAGTACCGCATAAGAGGCTGGTACATAAGCTGGAGAGACAGGCAGGTGTAGCTGGTAAGGTGCTCCAGTGGATAAGGGAGTATCTAAGCAATAGGAAGCAGAGAGTTACGGTGAGGGGTGAGACCTCCGATTGGCGTGAAGTCACCAGTGGAGTCCCACAGGGCTCTGTACTCGGTCCTATCTTGTTTCTGATATATGTAAATGATCTCCCAGAGGGTATCGATTCATTTCTCTCAATGTTTGCGGACGATGCTAAAATTATGAGAAGGATTAAAACAGAAGAGGACTGTTTGAGGCTTCAAGAAGACCTAGACAAGCTGAAGGAATGGTCGAACAAATGGTTGTTAGAGTTTAACCCAACCAAATGTAATGTAATGAAGATAGGTGTAGGGAGCAGGAGGCCAGATACAAGGTATCATCTGGGAGAGGAAATTCTTCAGGAGTCAGAGAAGGAAAAAGACTTGGGGGTTGATATCACGCCAGACCTGTCTCCTGCAGCACATATCAAGCGGATAACATCAGCGGCATATGCCAGGCTGGCCAACATACGAACGGCATTCAGAAACTTGTGTAAAGAATCATTCAGAACTTTGTATACCACATATGTCAGGCCAATCCTGGAGTATGCAGCCCCAGCATGGAGTCCATATCTAGTCAAGGATAAGACTAAACTGGAAAAGGTTCAAAGGTTTGCCACCAGACTAGTACCCGAGCTGAGAGGTATGAGCTACGAGGAGAGACTACGGGAATTAAACCTCACTTCGCTGGAAGACAGAAGAGTTAGGGGGGACATGATCACCACATTCAAGATTCTGAAGGGAATTGATAGGGTAGATAAAGACAGTCTATTTAACACAAGGGGAACACGCACAAGGGGACACAGGTGGAAACTGAGTGCCCAAATGAGCCACAGAGATATTAGAAAGAACTTTTTTAGTGTCAGAGTGGTTGACAAATGGAATGCATTAGGAAGTGATGTGGTGGAGGCTGACTCCATACACAGTTTCAAGTGTAGATATGATAGAGCCCGATAGGCTCAGGAATCTGTACACCTGTTGATTGACGGTTGAGAGGCGGGACCAAAGAGCCAGAGCTCAACCCCCGCAAACACAACTAGGTGAGTACACACACACACACACAGAGAGACAACTACATGGCACCGTCCTGGATATTTGATTACTCCCGACCCAGAAGAAGAGAGAGACTTTGTGTGTATCCCGGCACAAACGTTTCTCATCCGTGTCTACTTACGTTTCTTCTCCCCCCCCCCCGCCGGGGAGTGGGACCATCTTTCCGGGCGGGTGGGTGTGGGTGCCAGCAGTGCCCCCCTCACCGTCACCCGCGCCGGGGGCCTCCGCTAAGGCTTGATCTGCTTGACTGTGGTCGCGGATTCTTGCCTCATTCTGCCGTTTTTTTTGACATTTCTGACAACAAACTAACCATTGTTGAGCTTTTTCATCGTAATTTATACGATCATCTCTCCACGGCGCACTCTTTAGCTGCCCGGAGATTATATATATATATATATATATATATATATATATATATATATATATATATATATATATATATATATATATATATATATATATATATATATATATATATATATATGTCGTACCTAGTAGCCAGAACTCACTTCTCAGCCTACTATGCAAGGCCCGATTTGCCTAATAAGCCAAGTTTTCATGAATTAAGGTTTTTTCGTCTACCTAACCTACCTAACCTAACCTAACCTAGCTTTTTTTGGCTACCTAACCTAACCTTACCTATAAATATAGGTTAGGTTAGGTTAGGTAGGGTTGGTTAGGTTCGGTCATATATCTACGTTAATTTTAACTCCAATAAAAAAAATTGACCTCTTACATAATGAAATGGGTAGCTTTATCATTTCATAAGAAAAAAAATTAGAGAAAATATATTAATTCAGGAAAACTTGGCTTATTAGGCAAATCGGGCCTTGCATAGTAGGCTGAAAAGTGAGTTCTGGCTACTAGGTACGACATATATATATATATATATATATATATATATATATATATATATATATATATATATATATATCTATATATTATTATACACATATGCATATATGAATTTTGAAATAAAAAAATGAATTTTGGACAATTGATTTTCAATTACCATCACACAGTGATATAAGAAATATTGAGAAAATTCGTGTTAGAATATTAATTACTTACTTTTTCGGTCATATTTAAAATAAATATATATATATATCATATATATATATATATATATATAATATATATAGATAATTATATATATATATATTTGAGTGAGGTGGATGGGGTGAGGTGGTATTAATAGGGTATAATTTCATCAACATGTGATGAAATAATACCCTATTTATATAGGGTATATAATATCATATACATATATATGATATATATATATAGATAGATATATATATATAGATATTACATAGCTATATATAATATATATATATATATATATATATAATAGATATATATATATATATCAGCAAAGTTGTGTAGTATGTAGCTGGCGTGTGGTGTGTTGACGAGGCGGACCACCACCACCGAGATACTCCAGGGTAACAACTTCCTTCATCTTGCCCTTCACTCTCTGCCTCACTGTCTCCTCCCTCTCTTATTGAATGTTTCTTTGGTACCATAACTTTATCCTCTGTTGTGTTGATGTTAGTGTTGTGTCGCTGCTCCTGTCTGTTAGTCACGGTAGACTATTTTTAGTTACGGGAGACTGTTTTAGTTACCTCTCTTAATTACGATAGTGTGTTAGTTGGGTGGAGGGTGGGTGTTACTGGGTGGTGTTGTGTGTGAGTGTGGGTGTTACTGGGTGGTGTTGTGTGTGAGTGTGGGTGTTACTGGGTGGTGTTGTGTGTGAGTGTGGTAGCAAGGTTGGGGCAACACAAAGCCGGGCCGGGGATATAAACACCAGGCTGGCAACACACTTTACTGGGAGATAACATTTACCCTCAAAGGACCTAACCAAATGGGTTGGTTGTAGATCTGGCCCAGCGCTAGCGGGCCTCAACGCTATCTGCGAATACTCTCTCATGTTTTCTTTCATCTCGGCCATAATAGACCATATGTATATGGTTTTGTAAACAATCTGAAGTATTTCAGAACTCTTGGCTTTCCGCAATATTACTGGTTGATTATCTTAGTACAAAATTGTATTCATTTACGTGTGGTGTGTGATGTATTTACTATTTATATTTACTATTTCTATCTGCAGAATCGAGCTATTAGCTCTTGGATCCCGGCTTTCTAACCAATGTATTTTTCCTCTATTATGTCTACTACAAATATTTCTCTCTAACACACACACACACACACATCCCCAGGAAGAAGGCCGAAAGAGCTGTCTTAACTCTCGGGTACCTATTTACTGCTAGGTGAACAGGTCTATCAGGGTGAAAGAAACTTTCTTTCTGCCTCAGCCGGGAATCGAACCGGGGCTCTTAGGACTACGACCCCTGAGCGCTGACTACTCAGCCGCGAGGCAGTGTGTGTGTGTGTGTGAGTGTGTGTGTGTGTGTGTGTGTGTGTGTGTGTGTGTGTGTGTGTGTGTGTGTGTGTGTGTGTGTGTGTGTGTGTGTGTGTGTGTGTGTGTGTGTTGACCTATTCGTACTCACCCGGAGCCACGCGGCAGAGGCGGATTTAAACGGGCAGTTTATTTCTCCCTGATGCCCCTGATTACCAAGCAGTAAATAGGTACCTGGGAGTCAGACAGCTGCTATGGGCTGCTTTCTGTGTGTGTGCGTGTGTGTGTGTGTGTGTGTGTGTGTGTGTGTGTGTGTGTGTGTGTGTGTGTGTGTGTGTGTGTGTGTGTGTGTGTGTTGAAGAGATATATGTAGTAGACATAATAGACAAAAAATAAATTGGTTTGAAAGGCGGTGTCCAATAGCTAATAGATCGATTTAGGAGATACAAATAGTAAATAGCTATTTGTGCCTGCAGGATCGAGCTTTGGCTTTTGGATCCCGCCTTTCTTGCCTTCGGTTGTTTACAGCAATGACTCCCGCCCTACTTCCCTATCATACCTAGTTTTAAAATTATGAATAGTATTTGCTTCCACAACCTGTTCCTTTAATTCATTCCATTTTCCCACTACTCTCACGCTAAAAGAAAACTTTCTATCTATATTTTAACTTTCTAACCATTTTCAAACTTTCTAACCGTTTTCTCACCGTTTCAAGCTTTCTAACCGTTTTCTCACCGTTTTCAAACATTCTAACCGTTTTCTAACCGTTAACTAACTATCTAACCATTTTCTAACTAACTTTCTAACGGTGACCTCCCGCTTGCTGCTGCAGGTATCGGACAAGTACCTGGTGCACTACCCGCCCTTCATGCACGTGGACGGACTCGAACAGTCGAGCCTGGGCCTCCACTTCCGCGCTACCCACGCCCACTTCCCCCACAACCTGATGTCCCTCCGCTGCACCGCCTCCATCGGCATCTTCTATAACAAGACGGAGGAGGCCAGCCTTGAGACTCACCGCCCGGCGCTCTCACTTGAGAGTCGTGAACATTTCTACGGTACGTGGGGTGCCAGTCCCTCCCCCAGCACCCAGGTGTGTCCCCCTGTGGCTCAGGGGGGTGCCAGTCCCTCCCCCAGCACCCAGGTGTGTCCCCCTGTGGCCCGGGGGAGTGACTGTCCCTCCCCCAGCACCCAGGTGTGTCCCCCTGTGGCCCCGGGGGGAAAACAGTCCCTCCCCCAGCACCCAGGTGTGTCCCCTGTGGTGGCCGGGGGAGAGACAGTTCCCTCCCCCAGCACCCAGGTGTGTCCCCTGTTGCCCCTGGGGGTGCCAGTCCCTCCCCCACACACCAGGTGTGTCATCCCCTGTAGCCCGGGGGAGTGACAGTCCTCTCCTCAGCAACCAGGTGTGTGTCCCCTGTGGCCCGGCGGAGAGACAGTCCCTCTCCCCCCACACCCAGGTGTGCCCCCTGTGGCCCGGGGGAGAGACAGTCCCTCCCCAGCACACCAGGTGTGCCCCCCTGTGGCCCTGGGGGAGAGACAGTCCCTCCCCCAGCACCCAGGTGTGTCCCCCTGTGGCCCGGGGGAGAGACAGTCCCTCCCCCAGCACCCAGGTGTGTCCCCCTGTGGCCCGGGGGAGTGACAGTCCCTCCCCCAGCACCCAGGTGTGTCACCCTGTGGCCCGGGGGAGTGACAGTCCCTCCCCCAGCACCCAGGTGTGTCACCCTGTGGCCCGGGGGAGTGACAGTCCCTCCCCCAGCACCCAGGTGTGTCCCCTTGTGGCCCGGGGGAGTGACAGTCCCTCCCCAGCACCCAGTTGTGTCCCCTGTGGCCCGGGGGAGTGACAGTCCCTCCCCCAGCACTTAGGTGTGTCCCCCTGTGGCCCGGGAGAGTGACAGTAACTCCCCCAGCACGCAGGTGTGTCCCCCTGTGGCCCGGGGGAGAGACAGTCCCTCCCCCAGCACCCAGGTGTGTCCCCTGTGGCCCGGGAGCAGGTTAATTGTGTTAACAATCTGATGCCTCTGTTCACCTAGCTTACTGCTGGGTGAACAGAGGCATCAGATACGTTGTCCAAACACTTCTGTCTTACCTCGGGAGTCGAACCCGGGACCTTGAAGCTGTTATCTATACCTGTTCTTATTCGCTAATACTTCATAATTCCTTAAATTCTGCATACTTTTACTAACCGTACAGACTGCAGGTGTTGTGGCAGGTGTTGCCACCAACACCACACCACCACCACCACAGTAACACCTGTTTCTCCCAACAGGAAGCCAAGGGTCCGCCGGCGTCTCCAGCATCTTGGGCATCACCACCGGGCTCTTGCTCTCAGCTCTCAACGCTCTCAGATAAACAACCGTCGCCTCTCAGGAGTGGGGGAGAGACCGAACGGTCTCTTGGAAGCAGAGGCGTCGCCTGAGGTCTCCCTATATCGAAAGACCACACGCTTGAGGTCTCCAAACATGAGGCAGCGTTGGAGGATTCCGGTTAAGACTTTGCAGCCTCCAAGCAAGAAGCCCTTTGCTGTGTCTCTGGGAGTCCTCAGGGCTGTAGAGGGGGGCTAGCCAGCCCCTCTCCTCTATCTCTCACAGGGAGAAAACATCTGAAAGAGTAACAAAGTGGATATAATATCATATTTTCCGTGTTGTGAACCTCAGTAAGTTTTCAAAGTGGTATACCACCCAAATTGAGATGCGGAAGAAAGCAAGATTTCGCAAGCGGAATATTAGTTCTGAGAGCCAAGAGCCACTTATGTCTGGTGGGAGGACTTACGACCTCTCAGTGTGCGTCTCTAGCAGCACTTACGACACTCGTAACGCCTTGAGGCCAATCCAGACCTCGCGCCTGGCAGTAGTGATATTTTCTGAGATATGTAATGTGTTGTTATGGTGATAGTTAAATGCTTGTGTATTGTACTCTCCCTCAGTGCTAGCCCCCACCACAACCTCCCGTAACCCCACCACAACCTCCCGTAACCCCACCACAACCTCCCGTAACCCCACCACAACCTCCCGTAACCCCCACCACAACCTCCCGGAACCCCCACCACAACCTCCCGTAACCCCACCACAACCTCCCATAACCCCACCACAATCTCCCGTAACCCCCACCACAACCTCCCGTAACCTCCCCCACCACAACCTCCCGTAACCCCCACCACAACCTCCCGTAACCCCCACCACAACCTCCCGTAACCCCCACCACAACCTCCCGTAACCCCCACCACAACCTCCCGTAACCCCACCACAACCTCCCGTAACGTCCCCCACCACAACCTCCCATAACCCCACCACAACCTCCCATAACCCCACCACAACCTCCCGTAACCCCACCACAACCTCCCGTAACCCCACCACAACCTCCCGTAACCCCCACCACAACCTCCCGTAACCCCCACCACAACCTCCCGTAACCCCCACCACAACCTCCCTAACCCACCACAACCTCCCGTAACCCCACCACAACCTCCCCCAACCCCACCACAACCTCCCGTAACCCCCACCACAACCTCCCGTAACCCCCACCACAACCTCCCGTAACCCCCACCACAACCTCCGATTAACCCCACCACAACCTCCCGTAACCCCACCACAACCTCCCGTAACCCCCACCACAACCTCCCGTAACCCCCACCACAACCTCCCGTAACCCCCACCACAACCTCCCGTAACCCACACCACAACCTCCCGTAACCCCCACCACAACCTCCCGTAACCCCCCCCCCCACAACCTCCCGTAACCCCCACCACAACCTCCCATAACCCCACCACAACCTCCCATAACCCCACCACAACCTCCCGTAACCCCACCACAACCTCCCGTAACCCCCACCACAACCTCCCGTAACCGTCCCCACCACAACCTCCCCGTAACCCCCCACCACAACCTCCCGTAACCCCCACCACAACCTCCCGTAACCCCCACCACAACCTCCCGTAACCCCACAACAACCTCCGTAACCCCACCACAACCTCCCGTAACCCCCACCACAACCTCCCGTAACCCCCACCACAACCTCCCGTAACCCCACCACAACCTCCCGTAACCCCACCACAACCTCCCGTAACCCCACCACAAAACCTCCCGTAACCCCCACCACAACCTCCCGTAACCCCCACCACAACCTCCCGTAACCCCCACCACAACCTCCCGTAACCCCCACCACAACCTCCCGTAACCCCCACCACAACCTCCCGTAACCCCCCAACACAACCTCCCGTAACCCCCACCACAACCTCCCATAAACCCCACCACAACCTCCCGTAAACCCCACCCACAACCCCCACCACCAACCTCCCGTAACCCCCACCACAACCTCCCGTAACCCCACCACAACCTTCCTCTCTCCCCTCACCACTATCCCTCCCTCCCTGCACAAACGCTTCCTCCCCCTCATTAAACTTACAAAGGCCAGGATGGGTCATCTTTGTATGTTCTTAACAACGTGATAATTTAAGTCTGAGCACCAAAGTTGTTTGTGTCGATTGTGCCGTCTTAGGTCACTTTAATACTGTTTGTGTGAGTAGTGGACACCACCACCTTAATGTGCTTATTCTCACTCATGACAACTTGATCAACCAGTCTGTGCCGCTCTCGTTAGAACTGGCAAGAGTAATGCGATTTGAAGGACTTGACTTGACTCTCTTTGCCACAGTAGTTAAGAGTACACTTAGGCGCCATATGCGAGAGAACCTCGCCAGAAAAGTGTCAGAAAGATATGTGGGGTCTTTGTCATGCTTCACGACACACATATATGTGTGGCGAGGTCCGTGGCGAGGTCCGTGACGAGGTCCGTGGCGAGGTCCGTGGCGAGGTCCGTGACGAGGTCCGTGACGAGGTCCGTGGCGAGGTCCGTGACGAGGTCCGTGACGAGGTCCGTGACGAGATCCGTGACGAGATCCGCGGCGAGGTCCGCGGCGAGGTCCGCGGCGAGGTCCGTGACGAGGTCCGTGACGAGGTCCGTGGCGAGGTCCGTGGCGAGGTCCGTGACGAGGTCCGTGACGAGGTCCGTGACGAGGTCCGTGACGAGGTCCGTGGCGAGGTCCGTGACGAGGTCCGTGACGAGGTCCGTGACGAGGCCCGTGACGAGGTCCGTGACGAGGTCCGTGACGAGGTCCGTGACGAGGCCCGTGACGAGGTCCGTGACGAGGTCCGTGACGAGGTCTGTGACTCCACGGTCGTCAGACAAACGGGTCCCGTCCTGGCTACTACCAGTTAACGAGACCAAACATGCAGTACTAACCAAGTGATGGATTACCAATGGACCAAATCCTCATGGACCTTCTGAACAAGACGCCCAATTTGATCGTTAATACAAAAAGAAAATCATACAACAAAAATGTATTTGATCGACAAGAAAGACCACAATGAACGAGATAATTTGGGTGATGAGTGGAGGGCCTCGAGTGGAGGGCCTCGAGTGGAGGGCCTCGAGTGAAGGAACAGAAACCAAAACAGTTAAATACCTGTCATCAGAGCTGTGAGTGGCACTTGGTAGTTGTGTGTCCCGTGTACATAGGTACCCCAGGACTTAGGGTATGGGGGGGGGGGTACTTCCCGACCTAATACCAAAGATCTGTTTTAGTGAAGAATAAAAGGAGTATGTGACACTATTATGTTCCTGTATTATTTCTTTTGATTCTACACTGATATTTCCTGTGTATGTGAGCTTTGTATGTTCTTTCATAAGGTTAAAACATTTATAATTCCAAGTTTGGCCCCTACACGTGTAAATATCACCTATAGCCTCCTGTGTGTGCTCTAAATTCACTGCAGAAAGATCCCATTCTGCCTGGTGCTTCAGGACAATAAAGTTTATTCAACTATTGTCCAATGCCAAAGAATTAATTTGAGTGGGACTGTTGTGTAGTGTGTTGCACAGCCACTGAGGGTGACACAGACGGCTCTGCCACACTCGACGGTCACTAGGGAGCGTCCAGTTTCAAACACCACGCACCAGTCTCCGCCACCAATCAATAGCTCTAGAGAGAGAATTTTGAAACGAATAATTTTTGGCCTAAACAAAGCGGTAAGCTGATCGCCTGGAATGCCTGTTCGCCAGGAATTTAATCAATCAGACTCGCTTTGGTTGAGTCTAAAAAAAAAAATAAAAGATTTTTGTTGGGTGGAAACGGAGCTCCATTGATGTTGTCATTCGGAGGGTCGTTTAAGGTTACATTTTGAGGGGAAGCTGTTGTGTGTCTCTGGCCGGTCCCTCCTCGTAGCCCAGCTCCGGCACGTCTCCCTCAACATTATATGATCCTTCTTGCATAACAACACTTCCATTCTGGTTTATATTTTTGATATAATGACACACACACACACACACACACACACACACACACACACACATACACATACACATACACATACACATACACATACACATACACATACACACACACACACACACACTAAATGATTTTGTAAACTAAAGACTTGTAAAGACTCGCTCGTCACAGTGGCACTACTTGTGGCCAGGATATCTGGCCATAACTCAGGAGGCCAAGATCTGGGGGCCAAGATCTGGGGGCCAAGATCTGGGGGCCAAGATCTGGGGGCCAGGGTTCGATGATCACAGGGATCTACGTTCATGAGAGTTCTGTTATGAGTCTGAGAGTTATGAGAGGCCCCAAATTGTACAGCATCTGGACAATTCCAGGGACATTATTAGGAGTCTCCTGTTCTCAAGTGGGAACCAGAGGCTCTCCAGCACCTCCTCCAGGTCATCTGAGTTTTAGTCCTGAGTATTTTGTCGTCTCCAGCGTCCCGCCCCCACCCCAAGGACACCCTCCAGCAGACACTTCACACTCGACACCTGCTGCTTCGCACTCAACACCTGCTGCTTCGCACTCAACACCTGCTGCTTCGCACTCAACATCTGATGCTTCGCACTCAACATCTGCTGCTTCGCACTCAACACCTGCAGCTTCGTCCACTCACACCTGCTGCTTCGCACTCAACACCTGCTGCTTCGCACTCAACACCTGCTGCTTCGCACTCAACACCTGCTGCTTCGCACTCAACACCTGCTGCTTCGCACTCAACACCTGCTGCTTCGCACTCAACACCTGCTGCTTCGCACTCAACATCTGATGCTTCGCACTCAACATCTGCTGCTTCGCACTCAACACCTGCAGCTTCGCACTCAACACCTGCTGCTTCGCACTCAACACCTGCTACTTCGCGTCCCTCTCAAGTCAGATTTTCATAAAAGCCACACCACTTCTCCCAAATGTCTAAGCCCATCACCTGACTGCCAGCATCATTTCCTGCAGTGTGCATCACGCCACTACACCACACCTCCCCCACACACACACACCTCACCCCCACGCACCTCACACACCTCACCCCGCACACCTCACCCCCACACACTCACCCCACACCACTCCCCCACACACACACTCCCCCCCACACACACTCCCCACACACCCCCCCCACACACACACACCTCACCCCGCACACCTCACCCCGCGCACACCTCACCCCCACACACACACCTCACCCCGCACACCTCACCCCCCACACCTCACACACACCTCCCCCACACACACTCCCCCACACACCTCCCCCACACACACACACCTCACCCCGCACACCTCACCCCGCACACCTCCCCCACACACCACACTCACCCCGCACACACTCCACCCCCCACACCTCACCCCGTCACCAACATCGTCAAGAAGTGTCTGAGAACGATCAAGATCAGCTCGTTAAGGAGGCAGGCAGACGGCAGCTGACAAGGACAAATGTGCCGCCTTAAACACCGCCATCAGACCAAGACTCATAGTGTCTAATACTCTGACTGTCGTCTACAGTCAGAGCCAGACCACACCTCCTTGAGTACCACTCGAAGGAGGTGGAGAGACAGCACTGGAGTGATAACACTTCCAACAGGCTTCGCAGTAGAACGTCTGCCCGCATCGTTCCTTCGACTCCCGGTGATGGAAGAGGCAGTTACCGGTGGAGTAGCGAGGATTAGACAGAGGCGAAGGATGTTTTCTTGAGGGGGTAAGGATGGAACGGAGAAGGCTTGCGGTGCGGTGGAAGAGACGAGGTGTAGGGGAGGAGGAGGAGACGCCAGGCGGAGATACCTTATACATCGTTTCAACCTTTCCAACTCAATCAAAGTTTAGTGAAGCGGTGAGAGGAGACAAGGACCCCGTGAGCCTTCGTCCCCTGGGGTGCTGGGGTGAGGAGGACCCCCCTGGGGTGCTGGGGTGAGGAGGGCCCCCTGGGGTGCTGGGGTGAGGAGGACCCCCCTGGGGTGCTGGGGTGAGGAGGGCCCCCCTGGGGTGCTGGGATGAGGAGGGCCCCCCCTGGGATGCTGGGGTGAGGAGGGCCCCCTGGGGTGCTGGGATGAGTAGGTCCCCCTGGGATGCTGGGGTGAGGATGGCCCCTGGGGTGCTGGGGTGAGGAGGGCCCTCCTGGGATGCTGGGGTGAGGATGGCCCCTGGGGTGCTGGGATGAGGAGGGTCCCCCTGGGGTGCTGGGATGAGGAGGGCCCCCTGGGGTACTGGGATGAGGAGGGGCCCCCTTGGGGTACTGGGATGAGGAGAGCCCCTGGGGTGCTGGGATGAGGAGGGCCCCCTGGGTGCTTTGATGAGGAAGGCCCCCCTGGGGTGCTGGGCTGAGAAGGGCCCCCCTGGGGTGCTGGGATGAGGAGGGCCCCCTGGGGTGCTGGGGTGAGGAGGGCCCCGCGTGGGCTGCTGGGATGAGGAGGGCCCCTGGGGTACTGGGATGAGGAGGGCCCCCCTGGGATGCTGGGGTGAGGATGGCCCTTGGGGTGCTGGGGTGAGGAGGGCCCTCTGGGATGCTGGGGTGAGGATGGCCCCTGGGGTGCTGGGTGAGGAGGGCCCTCCTGGGATGCTGGGGTGAGGAGGTCCCCCTGGGGTGCTGGGATGAGGAGGGCCCCCCTGGGGTGCTGGGATGAGGAGGGCCCCCCTGGGGTGCTGGGATGAGGAGGGCCCCCCTGGGGTGCTGGGATGAGGAGGGCCCCCCTGGGGTGCTGGGATGAGGAGGACCCCCTGGGGTGCTGGGGGAGGAGGGGCCCCTGGGGTGCTGGGATGAGGAGGGACCCCCCTGGGGAACTGGGATGAGGAGAGCCCCTGGGGTGCTGGGATGAGGATGGCCCCTGGGGTACTGGAATGAGGAGGGTCCCCCTGGGGTACTGGGATGAGGAGGGCCCCCCTGGGTGCTGGGATGAGGGGTCCCCCCGGGATGCTGGGGTGAGGAGGTCCCCTGGGGTGCTGGGATGAGGAGGTCCCCCCTGGGGTGATGGATGAGGAGGGCCCCCCTGGGGTGCTGGGATGAGGAGGGCCCCCTGGGGTGGGGATGAGGAGGGTCCCCCTGGGGTACTGGATGAGGAGGGCCCCCTGGGGTACTGGGATGAGGAGGGGCCCCCTGGGGTACTGGGATGAGGAGGGACCCCCCTGGGGTACTGATGAGGAGAGCCCTGGGGTGCTGGGATGAGGAGGGCCCATGGGTAACTGGAATGAGGAGGGCCCCCTGGGGTACTGGGATGGGGAGGGCCCCCCTGGGGTGCTGGGATGAGGAGGGCCCCTGGGGTACTGGGAGGTCCCCCCGGGTATGCTGGGGTGAGGAGGTCCCCCCCCCCCCCCCTGGGGTGCAAGCACCAGGGAGGTTGTAGGGAGATAAGAGGATGGACCCTAGGAGGAGGGAGGCTCCCCTAGGAGCCTCCCTCCCTAAGAATAGGGAAGGAGGCTGAGGGCAGCGAGCAGCGGGCCCCCCACATGAAGTTGGGGGCCCGGTCTCCATCGTCGCCTGGGTTGAGAGGCTGTAGGCTCCGTGCGAGCGAGAGAGGACGTCTGAGGTCAGAGGTCACGGGGTCACTTGTGTTGACAGCGAAGCTGATGAAGTTACTTATCAGGCCGGGCGGGGTTATTAACCCTAATTGTAGGTAATACAATGACAAGGATTTATTAAGGTCATTTTCCAGGCGCTCCGGAGGAAAATTGGGAGGGAAGAGGTGAGAGAGAGAGAGAGAGAGAGAGAGAGAGAGAGAGAGAGAGAGAGAGACACACACACACACACACACACACACACACACAACAAACACACACCACACCACACACACACACACACATACAATATTACCCTAGGGGCCAGTCAGCCCTGCATACAGGTCTGAGTACACGATTCCAATTAAAATCAAGTCATGAAGAGAACAGTATACTCACACATACAGGGAGGGAA